GACTTAAGTTTCACCTTCGCAAACAACCCAAATCATTAGTTTGGTGTTGATGAAACAGAAAAAAACACACTAAAAAAGACCAGTACTCATATTTATATGCAACTTACTCAGAAAGCATGCGTTTTGTTTTAAATGTGTACATAGTTTTTGTGCATCAGCGTTGTGGTTCCATCCTAATGGAATATTACCATGTTTATGTGGGTCTGTCGGACATAAAAAGAACCCAGTGAATCACTTTGAGAAAGCAAAGTATTCATTCCCCCCACAGGCTGAATTAAATTAGGCGAGGTTTAATCCCCCCCTTGGTTATCAGATTGTAAATATAATCCCGCTCATTCGTTCTCATTTGTTTGCATAGATGCTCTTCAGTCAGTCAGTCTGTCAAACAGTAACGCGGGCTGAACCCGCCCGCTTTCAGTTGGATCATTAAACGCCTTTTAACGCCTCAACGTCACACTCCGTCCAAAGTTCGGGACGGTGAGAGTACTACGGGTGCTCATGGTGAAACATTTACTACAAACTTTTTTCTTTTTTTCCCCCCCTGTAGACTGTTGGATCGGCCAAAGAACATTTAAAAAAAAAAAAAGCTTTAAATTGCTTTTTTTTGTGGTCATAGAGAATGAAAATCTCATGAAAATCTGACAGTATTGCTGAATCAACAATATTTCTAATTGATCACGGTGTGATTTTAAGAAAAAACTCAGGAAATGATGTGATAAAACTTTGTTACATCCACCTGCAAGTTTTCCTCTTTCACATAGCCTCCGATAATGACAAATACAACTTAAATTAATAAGCTTTTTCTGCCCCGCCGGTGTTAAAATTGGCACTACCATGACTATGGTTTTGTTTTCTCTAATAATATTACTATTACTCCATGTTCTCACCACTATGGTGACATTGCAAAAGGCCACGGTTTACGTCCTCGGCTCCCAGACTGTTTATGTACGTTAGGGTGATGTTTTGGGTTAAACACACACCTATAATGCCTAAATTATAGAGCTGAAACACTCTTAAAATTAGCCACATTAAATGTCTCAAGGAGTCATTTGGGCTCTGGCATAATTAGCTGTTTTGGGTCTTTTGATGTGGGGAGTTGGCAACATCTTTGCGTGGGAGGTCAACTTCCCAAAGATTTAAGCTTAATTAAGTTCAAATCCAGAAAATGAAAGCATTTAGGTTTACGTTTGCTCTTTTGGACGGGTTGGAGCCATGAGTTGGTTTGTTTAATTTTGATTTGAGGTAAGAAAGTGTTGAGGCGTTATGGTTTTATCTCACTTTTCTCTCACTCTTTGTCCTATTTCGGTTTAATCTGGAATAAAAGTGGACCACATTGGATTCAGTGTGCTATCTGCCACATGAGGTCATCAATACTTGCATACAAACCAAGCAGAATCCCGTTTTCTTTTGATAATTCTTTGGATTTTCACTCTCACATTTAGCTTTTTCGACATTTTCGTCATTGTCAGTCCTTTCTTCGTCACTATCCCACAACAAGCCTCCCTTTCCCTCCACCTCCCTCCCTATTTTCTCATCCATGCCTCCTCCCCTCCGCGCAGTTGAGTGACTACAAACAGTCGACAGTTTACTACAAACACCTCCAGCAGCCCCCACAAACCAGAAAGCCAGCCATCAAGGGTAATCCTTCCTTCCTATCGCAAGTTCTAATGACCGGAAAGAGCATTCTTGTGCTTTAGCAGAGGCATTTAGGGTTACCAGAGTACTAATGAGCCTAATACTAATCCTGAAAATAAAAAGCCATTGCATTTCCCCCCATTTTACCTACAGATTGTGTTTGGTATGCGGAGGTTCTACAACACCCTTGTTGGACTGATTGGATCATGCTGAGTGTTCAAGGGCATTCATCATGTTCTCGGCATTACGCTGCTTAATCATTCATCACAGTCCCCATCAGTTAAACTTTTATGGCTTTGCTTGATATTTCCGCTTTGAAATGGAACACTGAGGCGAGGCCTCCGGGGTCATAGCGCAACAGGTTTACGGACACATCCCCCCTTTTCCACCGAATCTGTCTCGCAAGTATCGGCTAGTGATTTTTTGTTGGATTCTTTTGAAATTATGAACACGTCTGGTGCTTAAGCTGCCGTTTCACTGTTCCCTGAACTTGCAGAATTTCAGAAATGCTCATTTACAGGCCACATTGACCTTCAACAAACGGGCAAAGCCGGAGGCTGGGTGGAATCCTCCCCTCCGCATTCCGCTTGTTATCTCGGTCGTGAGCGGGGCTTATTTGTCCGGCATGCTTCCCCTGAGCTGTTTGTGCAGCTTCTCGCCTCGTTTTCACCCCCGTCTTTGTTATTTAAATCTGACCCTCCCGTCCAGCTCGGTCTGCTACCTCTGGAGGTGGACTTTCAAGTTTGCGACCGTGACCTTATCTCCACCTGTCATTACCTTGCTTTACTTTTGTTTGTCCTGAACACTTCAGATTAATTTAGGATGCACAAGGATTCAAATCAGGGCCTAAATGATGTGCTTCATTTTGGAAAAAAGACATTAGAAACTGTAAGAAAATGAAGGACAGCAGTCAGAACTGGATAGAGAAGTCAAGCAGTTGAGCAAAATTCGTTGCCTTCCCTTCGTCTAGCAACTCCTCCCCCCTCATTACCGCCTTAAGGAACACACCCCCCCCCCCATTCCCCACCCCCTTTACTCTGCAACTCACCTGGTGAGTTTGACCACCTTTTACTTTGAACTCCTCCTCCTCCTGCTCCCCCACACACCCCCACCCCACCCCCACCAGAGCAGGTGAGCGTGAAGGTATAAAGGTATGCAACAACAAAGCACACTATCTTCTCTGCTCTGGGAGGGAGGAAGGCTACGGGGTTGTGTGAAAGAGTGTGTGTGCCTGCGAGAGAGAGAGAGAGAGAGAGAGTGAGAGAGAGCGAGAGGCGGAGTAGGGAAGTTTCAATTTTTAAAAGACAATTGGATTGACTGCTCTCAGACTTGTCCTGCAACCATGGGGCTAGGAGTAAGTATTGGAACTTTTTAAAGACATTCTTTAGAGCGTTTCAGGTGCTTGTGTGTGTGCGTGAAGCTTGCTTTCAGATTGTAAAGTTGTGTAACACAGTTTGTATTGCTGCCTCCAACCTTTTTTTTGTTTTCATTCTGTCTGAGATTCCCCCTCTAAAAAAATTTGCCAAGCTCAAAACTGGTCAACGGTCAGTCTGGGACCCCTCCGATAATGATTAACACGGGTTCGGTGGCGTGTTTGAACAGTTGACGGGGACGCTTCCGTCTGCGTTGAAGGAAAAAAACAAAAGAAGAAGCGAAAGAAAGAGCCATCTTCGTAGTTACGGTCGTACTCAAAGGTTGTCTTTCACTTTTCCAATCCAGAAGGGGAAAGATGATTACAAGCCGGCGCCGACCTCCGAGAGGAGCAAAAAGAAGGACAAGAAGGCGCAAGAGAAGAAGGATATGGACGATCTGAAGAAGGAGGTCGACCTGGTAAGTGGACTAAAAGTTTATATCTTAATCAACTCCTTTAAGGCTTCTGTGAACGTTGGAATTGTGTTGCTCCTCCACGCCACTCTGACTCAGGCCGTGTTAACCCTGTTGGTCTCGGCAATGATGCAGAGAAAAACCTCACGGATGGTCACATGAGATGTGGTTGTCTACCCTCCGCATCTCAAACTAGATTGCTGCGTTACGGCGCCGTGTGTGTTATTAGGGAGGCCACAGCTGTAATTAACCTCCGAGGCACGATTATGTCAACGAAGCAGTCATTTATCCACAAACAACAAACACCCATTACTCTGCTTATTTTCTATGTCGTAATCACGCTAATACGATGTTATAACATTTGGTTTTGACTATAAAAATGCGTTTGGCTGCTTTGTGGGGTGAAAATATGCAAAGTGGAATCCCCAAATGTTAAAGTTGGGGCGTGGATCACGTTAGAGTGGTGGCCTTACAGTTTGTCACATTTCCACTGGTGTCAGCTCTTTTTTTCTCAATGTGAAGCTTCTCGGGCGAAGTCACTTCCTCAAGGTCAGAGAGGAACCGGCTCAAAGTCGGCGGCTAAATGTGAGGAAGGAATTTCAGTGTTTGCACAAGCTCCCGTATCTGCACGGAGGTCCGCTTCATAAAGACCAGCGCGCAAAGCTTTTTTTTTCCTGAACTCGAAACTGGGAGGCGTAGCATTTTTTTTTTGTTTTTTTTGTTGCCGTGCCCCTGTCCTTCTCAAGGTCACCTTACCCAGAGGACTGGCCTTTACCGTGCGCCACAAATAAAGCTGTTGAAATGCGACCACGCCGATATCCAGGGTAGTGAATTACTGCCGTAGGGAAAACGTGAATCCTTTTAATCCGCTGAACCTTGCTCCACATAAAAATAAAAAAAAATCTTTGATGCTAGTTTGTTGCAGTTTTACTGACATGGTTAAAAAAAAAAGAAAGTCCCATGGAGACTACTTTGTAGCTAGGCTTTTGAGGCAGATTTCGCAAATGGTCCGTGCCCAATGTCACCCCAACGGGTCACGGCCTCTGGTTATTAGCCGGTAATCTTGGTGACTTATTAATGATTATTGTCGTCTAGGCATCTTAACCAGATCTCAAAGTCCCTCGTGCCGCCGAAGGGCACTTCAATGCCAAGGCAACCATATCCCTCCAGGACCTCTCCAATTTTCTTTGAATGACAGGCTTTACTAGCTTGCAATGTGTACTTTCTTTGTTTTCATACTTTGATTCAGTTTTGGGTTTTAACCGTGCTTCGGACATGCGGGCACAATCGGCCGGTAGTAAAACGGCGGTGAAAGGCACAGAGGGTCAAACGCAGCTGTCACGTTAATGATTATTGCCCCCATCCTTACGATTGAGTGGGGTGTCAAAGTCCAGCCGGAGACAATAGAAAGGAGCCATCCCCATAGTAACCCGACGCGGCCGGAGAGCTGATATGTGACTATGTGAGTCTATCAGAAAAATGCCAAACGCCGACCGTCAGCGTTCAGAGGGTTGATGCCAGAATACAAGCGAGGGGCGCCAATGTCCTCGGCGTGGGGCTTCAAAGGGGGCCGCCGGTTTGGTGGAGCAACAGTAGTGCGCGGCATGCGATAGCGCATTAACCCCGGCACGCTTGTCATGCCGCCTCGTAATGGGAGCCGAACGGTGGCCACACGGTCACACCCATTTTTCTAGTTTGACTGAGAGGAGGTCATGTAAATGCCCTCGACCAGTGACAGGAGGCCCAACATAATAAGGTCTTATAAGGTCCTCTTCCAGCAGATTGATAAATAAAAAAAAATCAGCGAAGATCAAATAGTCAAAGTCAATTTATGACAGTGCAATCTAATTGGAAATCATCCCAGATTGATATGAGCTATTTTTATGCTGCGCAAGCTAAGATTAAAATGTAGTTAGACGTGTAATATACTGTTATAAAGGTACCATACAACGTAATAGATCGGTGTCAACTATTTCCCAATGAAATGCCTTTCCTTTTATTGATATCTTACAGTGCGTGCACTGTAAATTAGTGGTTAGGGGTTAGGCTATGACAACTGATTGAAAATGCAACCTTGGAGAAAATGAAACAATACATTTTGTAACCATAAAATTACTAAATGTGTGGAAATGGCAACAGTTAAAGAGTCTTACTATTTGCCACTGTGCCTCAGTTAACTTGTTTGTGCACATTGGCTTTTCAGCAATAGCCAAAAGTGATGGATTTAATCTATTTTAAGCACGTATCAATGAAAAATCTAGATAGTTTTTATGTTTTGTGCCACCAAGATGTTATACAAATGTCACACAGAGGTACAAACCTCACCCAAATAAGCAGTTTAAGTACCAGTTACTCTAAGTTTGCATCATTTTCCCTGATTTTGCCAGACATCTTTTGTCATTCGTAGACATAAGCCTTCTCCTGATATTCACAATTTAGTGCTACCATTTAATTTAATTAATAGTGAAGCATTGAAAAAAGCAAAACCGGTTAAAAAGCAGCATTTTACGTGCGATCCTCCATCTTTTAGCACGGATAGTCATCAGTGTCAGTGATTAAGGTGCCTGGGGGGGATCTTTGACAGTATTCTGGCAATATTTCATGTCCTCGGTTAAGATTTATACACAAGGGGTCGAATTCTACCGGAAGGTCGAAGATTAAGCTGACAGGAAGATTGAATGCAGACAGAAGATTTGAACATATTAAGTTTTTTCTTTGATGTCCCGCTATACTACATTAAATCTTGGTTTAGACGGTTCTTTTTTGGTTTGTGGGAAAGCAGCCACAGGTGTGCCGTAAACTGTATTTCAAAACAGAAAAAAATGTGGGATTTTCCATGAAACTATTACTGCTCTGGTATTTAGCGTTTCACAAGTATAACTAGAACAAAAAAAAAAAAAAAGTGGGAGTTGCGCATAATCCAAATGACACTGGAAGAATCTCTTCATTCACTCCCGTTAGTGGGTGTTTGTGTAGGCCCGTTGCAGCAACATTCCTGCTTGCCGTTCCACCTACAAACGCAGCAACACAACAACTGCAGTATGGAAATTCTTATTTCGTCACATTCTGAACGAAGAGGCTGTACATCCCCAGTGAACGCATGAGCAATTCTCTTGGTGGGGGAGAGCGTACAGCAGTGTATCAGTTGGGTGTCAACGATTTGGCCCCCCGAATGGACTGTTTGCTCGGGACAAACTGAGTTTTCTGTGTGCGGTTGTGAGTTTTTTTTACCGTTATCAGGAAAAAGGGTTACTTTGACTCTAAATTCTCGGCTTTACCGAGTCTTTTAAGATCTCTCTGTACCGGCCCGCGCAATCCTGACCAGATTAGCGTTTATTGCCCCTCGCAGCAGATTATATTTTGTTGTACTGTACCTACAAATAACAGGAACTTTGCCCCCGGCATTGCGCAACTTCTCTCTCAGGCAAATTTCTGCTCCTCTCTCTCTCTCTTTCTCTCTCCGTATAGGACGACCACAAGCTGACGTTGGACGAACTTCACAGAAAGTACGGGACCGACTTGAGCAGGGTGAGGCTTCCTCCTTTTTTTGCGCTCTGTGTGTTTACGAGCCCGGAAAAAAAGTGACAGGAGGCTAGATAGATAAGGCCAGAGATCAGGGGAAGAGATCACAGTCACGGCTGAGGTCAAAGGAACAGTGAGGCACACTTTGAAGTGGCATATTGATCTGGTGGAGACTATTTAAGACCCATTATTTTGCATACATTGAACGGTATCTAGTTTTACTGATGAAGATATCGATTGTATCTTACAAGAGTCAATCAAATTGTTGCAAACATGTAATGAGGATAGGTAACTATTCCACCATCTCTATTGATCTTTAAATTCCTTTTGCCATATCATGTAAGTATCTTGCTGTCCTGTGTTTGGGATACCTGGAGTTTATAGTATATATTTTTGTTATATCCACTTTAAAGGCAGGTAGATTGTAGCTCTGCTTCTGTATAACTGCTTTTTTTAAAAAAATATGACTACAAAAGACTAAATTATGATTAATGTCTAATGAAGAAAGCAAGAAAATATCTAATATGATACCTACGTTTTTACATTAGATATCAGAGTCTAATGGAAATATTGAAGGTTTGTGGTTTTGGTCAAAGGGTCCCTTAATGTTCAGCCCTCACTACATACCCCCCCCCCCCTTTTTTTCCCAATTATTCCACACTGAATGTCACCACAGCCACAAGTACCAACAGAGGCCAGTCACCTGACCGATGCTGATATCTGCTGAAATCTGATCTGTCTGAGTTTTCCCCCAAACAAAGGCCGGATTCATGGAGGAATTCCAGTCACGGTGGCGCTTTCCAGCTCCTGATAGTTACTTCTCATTCTTTTCCATTTCAATGAACGCTCAGAATATGCGACTTGAAATGAGGCAGAGTAAATACTGCTCATTGATAAGAGTTTCAACATCTTCTCGCACTGTTAACAGCTCCCCCTCCTCAAAGGCTGTAAACGGATGCAGTTCTGTATGATTGTAAAGAAAATACAGCACTCTTCTTCTTTCAGATATAGTTACTTATATGCTTTTTTATGTCAATCAAACTTAAATAGTTTGATTGAAACTGTCAGGTGTATTTTTTTCTTCATTTCTTTTTTCCTGGTTTCCTTGTGAGTGGAGTTAGAATGAAAAGGATTAAAACCAAAAACTGGATTCACAGGTTTTTCTTTCGAAACAGTAAACAGGAAATCGGTTGGTGTAAGGTTTGTTTGAAACTAGGGAAGGATCCCATTCCTGTTCCTTTTGTTTCTTTTTAGGGTCTGTCCTCCTCTAGAGCAAAAGAGATCCTGGCCAGAGATGGCCCGAACGCCCTCACGCCTCCTCCCACCACGCCCGAATGGGTCAAATTCTGCAAACAGGTAAAAAAAAGAATGTAACATCCCCCTGATTTAATTCCGTCTGGGACACTGCCAGAATTTAAATATTCAAATGTTTTTTTTTTCAAATGCAAATTCAGACGGATGCGCCTCGGCCTGTAAAACCATCAAAATGGCTTGAATCTTGTCTCCTATCCTTTCCAGTTGTTTGGCGGTTTTTCCATGCTGCTGTGGATCGGCGCCATCCTTTGCTTCCTCGCTTACGGTATCCAGGCTGCCTCAGAGGATGAACCGGCCAATGACAATGTAAGAAGATCCTTGCTAGCGCGTGGTTCGTAACGACCTCGCAAAGACCGCCTAAGCAGAGTTTCCCCCCCTCTTCCTGTAGTTGTATTTGGGCGTCGTGCTGTCTGCCGTCGTCATCATCACTGGCTGCTTCTCCTACTACCAAGAAGCCAAGAGCTCCAAGATCATGGACTCCTTCAAGAACCTGGTCCCTCAGGTGAGACTCAAGAGCTTCCGCTGGCTTGAAATGTGGCCCGTGTTTTTTTAGTTTTTTTTTTAACATGTTTACAAGTTCTTGCCTTTGATTTTCTAGCAAGCCCTGGTCATCCGCGACGGCGAAAAGAAGAACATCAACGCTGAAGAGGTGGTGGTCGGTGATCTGGTGGAGGTGAAAGGAGGAGACAGGATCCCCGCCGATCTGAGAATCATCTCTGCTCACGGCTGCAAGGTGAGTAGAGCACAAGCTCACCGACATATGCTGAAATCGGGGTTCCTTCATACCCACTCCTACTTTTCAGAAGTTTCTCCACATATTTCCCCTGTTTTATCAGACAGACAGTCTTTTTTAAACTGTACCAAAGAAATCACGTCATTGTTGGTCTTTTCCTTTTCCTCCTATAGGTGGACAACTCTTCCCTGACTGGTGAATCAGAGCCTCAGACCCGTGCCCCAGACTTCTCCAATGACAATCCTTTGGAAACCAGGAATATCGCTTTCTTCTCCACCAACTGTGTTGAAGGTACAAAACACCTGGAAAAAAAACGCTTATTTGAATACAGTGTTTATTTTGGATATGGATATGACAAACCTGACAATCCTTGAAATGAGCGTTGAGTAACGGAATTGTTTTTTGAATGAACGGGGAAGAACTTTGTCTGATGTTTCGCAGATTCAAGACAGATTTGATAGTTAGGAAAGTTCCATCTGGCATTTAGCTAAACTGAAGTTACAGGGATAAAAGGCCGTGGAAATTATTCAGGGATTCAAGGAACTTCTTTTGTCATTCAACGCAGTACTTGCATGAAAACGAACTGGACAGTATTAAACTGCAGGCTATACATAAATAATCTCAATCCAGATGAATATAGGTAATATTAAAAGGTGAAAGAAGTGGATAATGCTACCAAACTAAAGGTCATATTACGAACAAAACTCAGTGATAATAAAAGGAGAGGGTATCATTGAGATTAGCAAGATGGTCATCTTCATTGTGTGTGGGTGGACTCGCGTGTGCAGTGTTTGATTTTTACCACGATTGTCGTTCAAAATCTGTTCAGGAGCAGCCAAAGGTGTCGTCATCAACACCGGAGACCGCACCGTCATGGGCCGCATTGCCTGCTTGGCCTCCAGCCTGGAGGGCGGCAAAACTCCCATTGCCGTTGAGATCGAGCACTTCATCCACATCATCACCGGTGTCGCCGTCTTCCTCGGAGTGTCTTTCTTCATCCTGTCCCTCATCCTCGGATACGGATGGCTGGAGGCCGTCATCTTCCTGATTGGTATCATTGTTGCCAACGTGCCTGAGGGTCTCCTGGCCACCGTCACTGTGAGTTGTGACGTCCCCTCTGACCTGAGAAAAGTGATAGAAACCAAGTACAAACAGTGACGGAGGGTTGTGGTTCATTCCCGTCTCCAGGTGTGCCTGACCCTGACCGCCAAGCGGATGGCCAAGAAGAACTGCCTGGTGAAGAACCTGGAAGCCGTGGAGACCCTGGGCTCCACCTCCACCATCTGCTCGGACAAGACCGGCACCCTGACCCAGAACAGGATGACCGTAGCCCACATGTGGTTCGACAACCAGATCCACGAGGCCGACACCACGGAGAACCAGAGCGGCACCTCCTTCGACAGGAGCTCGGCTACCTGGGCGGGCCTGGCCAGAATCGCCGGACTCTGCAACCGGGCCGTCTTCCTCGCGGATCAGAGCAACGTTCCCATTCTAAAGGTGAATGTTAGTTGGTTACCACGAGATGATGTCCCAAAGAATCAAAACCTTTTTTTCTTCGTCTGGATACCCAGATCTGTTCCATAAGACAGCTATTATAAGAACATGAGGAACAGTTAAGAACCCAGTAACCAATTGTACAGAGGGCCTGGTGAAGATAAGATTTGTTACCTGGAGTTAACTAAAGTAATGACATGGGGTTACTTTAGTTGAGCATAAATCTACTGAATGACCAGGTTTTCCCATCAAAGCGTTTCTTCCTTCATGATGACACTAATGTATTCCGAGATGAAAAGCAATGACAAGGCTCAAAATCTAAGAAAATTTCATGGAGCATGACACCCCCATTTTCAAATGCTTCCGACCTTAACCTGGTTTGTGATCTGTAGGCTGTGCTTGAGTAGCCAATCCCACCCTTTACAGGACATAAAACGTGGCCAACTGGGTTTTGGTGTTGTCTTGTACAGAGAAATAATTGTGAGATTGTCCTGAAAATTACTGATGGGACTGGATATTTAATTCCACAGAGAGATGTGGCCGGTGACGCCTCAGAAGCTGCCTTGCTCAAGTGCATTGAGCTGTGCTGTGGGTCTGTGAGCGCCATCAGAGACAAATACCCCAAGGTCGCCGAGATTCCATTCAATTCAACCAACAAATACCAGGTAAGTGATCCACTCAAGAGAGGTTAGAAACTCATTGGAATGGTTCCAATAAATAGAAGCGGTCGTACGCTCACTTGTGCCCCCCAGTGGTCATTTCCGTCATCACCACCCTGTTTTCCTCTTGCGTCACAGCTCTCTATCCACAAGAACTCCACCCCTGGAGAAACCAAGCACCTGCTGGTGATGAAAGGAGCCCCAGAGAGGATTTTGGACCGCTGCGCCACCATCATGCTCCAGGGCAAAGAGCAGCCTCTAGATGATGAGATGAAAGACGCTTTCCAGAATGCCTATGTTGAGCTGGGAGGACTTGGAGAGAGAGTCCTGGGTACGGAAGCGAGATCTTTTTATTTTATTTTTCTGAACTAAAATGAGGAAATTTCCACTATAAAATTCTTCCTTTCCCGTCCAGGTTTTTGTCATTTCAACCTGCCCGACGACCAGTTCCCAGATGGCTTTGCTTTTGACACTGACGAGGTGAACTTCCCCACCGAGAACCTGTGCTTTATGGGCCTGATGTCCATGATCGACCCCCCTCGCGCCGCTGTGCCCGACGCCGTCGGCAAATGCAGGAGCGCCGGAATCAAGGTGTGTCTACAGGGTTGAGCTCAGTTTTGGATACTTTGCCGTGACAGAAATTGAGCTGTAAAAAGCCATAATTTTCTTAAGCGTCACTCTCATCTCCTTGTACTCAGGTTATCATGGTGACTGGTGACCATCCCATCACTGCCAAGGCCATCGCTAAAGGTGTGGGCATCATCTCCGAAGGCAACGAGACTGTTGAAGACATTGCTGCCCGCCTAAATGTTCCGATTTCCGAGGTTAACCCAAGGTGATTACTCTTTTTTTTATCTGTGTTAAACCTTTTTTTTCTTTGTTACCAAAGCAGAATTATAAAAAATCCTCACTTGAAGGTGTTCAGTCACCTGAAATCTCCACAAATGAGAGTATATTTTAGAAAAATTGATCAAGAAAGCCTCTCAATCTGATCCAATCTATCATTTATTTAGCATCTGTTCTGAACAAATTAGTGCTTGATTTATTGTCCATAGATGTCTTATTTAGCTTCCTGTTTTGGCAAGGCTGAGCCATGTTCTCTTCTTCTTCTTCCAAAGTATTTCCAGTTTTCCCAGTTAAGATTTAGTCCACTTCACAATGTGTTGGCCCTAAGCGTTGTTTTCTCTGCAGGGACGCCAAGGCCTGCGTCGTCCACGGTGGCGAGCTGAAAGACTTGACCGCCGAGCAGCTGGACGAAATCCTGAAGTACCACACGGAGATTGTGTTCGCCAGAACGTCCCCACAGCAGAAGCTGATCATCGTGGAGGGCTGCCAGAGACAGGTAACCCTTCAGAGAGGGGACAAAAAAAAACCCACACATCAGTAACACCGTCTCAGTGTTTTTGCGTCATGACCCCTTTCGTTCCTCTTCCCTGCAGGGCGCCATCGTGGCCGTGACGGGTGACGGCGTGAACGACTCCCCCGCTCTAAAGAAAGCCGACATCGGCGTCGCCATGGGGATCGCCGGCTCCGACGTCTCCAAACAAGCCGCCGACATGATCCTGCTGGACGACAACTTCGCCTCCATCGTGACCGGAGTGGAAGAAGGTGAGGCCAAGCGAAAAACCGGGGAAATCTTCCGGGGGATCTCTTTGTCTATTCGACATATCAACTGGTACCTGTTGCCCTGTCAGGCCGCCTCATCTTCGACAACCTGAAGAAGTCCATCGCCTACACCCTGACCAGCAACATCCCTGAGATCTCGCCCTTCCTCTTCTTCATCATCGCCAACATCCCCCTGCCCCTGGGGACCGTCACCATCCTCTGTATCGACCTGGGAACCGACATGGTGAGATCTCGGATCTGTCCCGATTCCAAAAACGTACGCCCTTGTTTCCAAAGAGGGGGGTTCGCTCAACGCAAGTGGCCTGTCCGTTGACAGGTCCCCGCCATCTCCCTGGCTTACGAAGCGGCTGAGAGCGACATCATGAAGAGGCAGCCCCGAAACCCCAAGACGGACAAACTGGTGAACGAGAGGCTTATCAGCATAGCCTACGGACAAATCGGTAAGTCTTTTCTTTTTTTACGGTTTCCCCAATAATCCCTTCCATTTGTTAGCCGGGAACAGGACCAGCTGAGGCACCGCTTCTCTGTTCTTTTCCTCTCATCAGGCATGATGCAGGCCACAGCTGGGTTCTTCACATATTTCGTGATCCTGGCGGAGAACGGCTTCCTCCCCATGGACCTCGTGGGGATCAGGGTGTACTGGGACGACAAAATGGTGAACGACCTGGAGGATAGCTACGGGCAGCAATGGGTCAGTTCCTCACGGTGTCTAGAAATTCTAGCTACAGGGCAATAAAAGGATGAGGTTCCAATTTTTTATTTTTTTCTCTGCCCCCTTTTTTTTTGTTTTTTAGACGTACGAGCGCAGGAAGATCGTGGAGTTCACCTGCCACACGGCCTTCTTCGCCAGCATCGTCATCGTCCAGTGGGCCGATCTGATCATCTGCAAGACCAGGAGGAACTCCATCGTGCAGCAGGGAATGAAGTGTGTGCTCTCGTAGACCCCTCTTACGGTCATTCTCGTCTCACCCCAAACGTCGCAATATTTCCTTACTCGGTTACTGACCGTCCCGACTCCCCACAGAAACCGCATCCTCATCTTCGGGCTCTTTGAGGAGACGGCGCTCGCTGCCTTCTTGTCCTACTGCCCCGGAATGGACGTCGCCCTCAGAATGTACCCTCTCAAGTGAGTACATACCGGATTTTTCGTACAAAAATGTCCAGTATGAGAAAGAAATTCAACTAAAATGCAACATTTTGAAGGAAACTTCTTGGTTTCTTCTCTTGAATGATTAAAACAGATTTATTTAGATGTTTTTTATTGTGCTAGTCCATCAGCGACAGCCTTTTTCTACTCATTTGGAGACTTTCTTCAGTCTCCGGTTCTTGTTTGTCGAATAATCAGTGCAGTCAGAAGCCTTGAGCGAGTTTTTCTGGTTCTTTTCCAGAGTGTAAATTCAACCCCAGTGTTGTATTTGCTTAATCATCTTATTAAAAAGGAAAAGGGAGGCTTTCATCCGTTGCCACACTCTATTTCCACTACTGAGATAATATGAAGACTCAAGAGCTACTTTACTAATGAGATCCTTGGCCCGACTGAGAAAAGAGAGAAAAAGCATCGCACTCATTAACTCAAGAGCTCCGCTTACAACTTATTATTATTATTATTCTGCTACTTCTGCATGTCTTCTCTCCTTTTTCTTCTCGTCTGTTCCTTCGGCCCTTGACCTCCTTTCGTTCTATCCTTCTTCACTCACTCACCTTTTCATGTGGACGATGACACCTTGTTATTTCATTCTCTACGCCTGATTCCCTGCCTCCCTCCAGACGCTTCCTGTCGCTATTTCCATCGTCTGCTTTGTGTTTGTTGTCTTTTTTCCCGTCTCCGCCTCTGGTTATATTCCCATTTTGATGCTTAAAGACCTCAGCGCACTCTAGTCTGGTCATATATTAGAAAAAATTCAATGTAAATATGAGCACAACGGTATAGTACGATACCTGGAGTATTATATTTTTGACATTAGCATGAGGTGACGTCAAATGTGTCCATTTTTGGCCTTGTTTTGCTCGCACAACTCCTGAAATCGTCCTAATGGCTGCTCAACAAAAGCACAGGGTTCATTCCGAAAGCTTTCATGTGCTTTTAGAGAACTTTCAGCCAGCCATAATGGCGTTACTTACGAACACAGTCTCTCCAACAGGCCGTGAAAAAGGGAGCTTTTGACTTTTTTTCCCATTTTTTTGTCACATTCTGGTTTTAATCTCACGTGTCTGTCGGTCGTACCTTAGGCCATGTTGGTGGTTCTGCGCCTTCCCCTACTCCCTCCTCATCTTCCTCTACGACGAAGGCAGAAGATACATCCTCAGACGCAACCCGGGCGGTAAGAGACATACTTCTTTTTACTTTTTTCTTTTAGATTTTTACCGAACGGACAAGCTAAATGTGTCAGATGGCCATTTTTTCCCCGAAAGCTGAGCGGAACCTGTTAAAAAGGGGTTGGCTCTGATGCCATTGTGTTTTTTATCAAATATATATTTATTTAATTGTGTGTGTTCGCGAGTGTGTGTGTCTGCCACATCTGAGCCCCACAGCACAGATCAGTGAACATGCCACTGCCCATCCACGGTGAATAATGTGTTAGACAGACAAAAAAACAACATGGAGAAAATGACACAGTTTCAACAAGCCTCATAGAATAGAAAATAAATAGATTTAAAAAATCACAGAATTGATATCTCCTGCGTATTGGATTTGTAAATGCAGATGTCTTTTTCACGTTTTTGCTTTTTGTTTTTAAGAAAGTTAAGTTTAAGAAACTTACCCCTTTATGATTTCTTCTTTTTCTGAGGTCAATGACCTCCAGTCTTATTAGATTTCAACCATTTCTGGGTGGTTCTGTGTATTCACAGTCCATGATATCGTCATCTCGCTCTTAATAATTCTTCAAATCGCCTTCAACGTGGGCCCTGACCGACTACGTTCAGTGGACCTGCTTCAAAACTTTCATTTAAATGTGAAATTTAGAAAAAAGACATACCCTAATTGTGTATCCGCTTTGGTTTTATAGGTTGGGTGGAGCAGGAGACATACTACTGAGTCTACACGGGAGGAGGGGAGCACGTTTCATCATCATTTGTTGCCATGTTACATATTCGTTTAAAAATGCTATCCCAAACACAACCGAGAAAAACCAAAAAAACCAAAACAAGCATGGGTAAAATAAGTATAACTTAATGTATGTCACACACAATAAAATATGTCGGTATCGTTATACACTAAAACTTGCTCCTGTGTTTATTCCACGACACACACTCGCCTTCTCCGGTGTTTTTTTTTTGTTGTCTTTTTTGATAAGGCTTAGATAAAGGATGGGAAAGCTTTAAAAGTTCAAACCCGAGAATATAAAAGCGATTAGAACCGACGTGTATTTCAGGCGGATTTTCTTTTTAAAAATCTCCGCTCACCGAGAACAAGCTTTCCTGTGCTTTGTTAGTTATGTCTGTGTGTGTGTGTGTTTGCGTGTGTGTGTGTGTGTGTGTGAGGCTTTGGGCTATGTGTCCATTACCTCGAGGGGCCGAGCGTGCCGCATCGGTGTTTGCGATAGATCGCTCTGTTGACCGGTGAAAATTAACTGAGGCCCACTCTAGTGCTATCTCCATTGTGTTTACCCTGGTCATCGTGAGCACCTCCTTCTCCCTTTTCTCCGTGTGTGTGTGTGTGTGTGTGTGTGTGTGTGTGTGTGTGTGTGTGTGTG